GCAGCAACACCTGACTGTGTGCAGAGTGGAAAGTCAAAGGAGAAGTCTCTCCACTGATGAATCTGCACAATTATAAATAAATCACAGCTGCGCTGACCATTTTTTTTCAAGCTAAACCTCTGAATTCCTTGTGGGCCGACCTCATTGCAGCATCAGAGCTCAAATAGCTGTAAGTAGCTACCTCTGGGATTCCAAATGTGTCTCTCCCTATGGGAAAGATAAAATCTGGGATTTAATGTTTAGAAGATGTGCTTGTTTTGGGTGCCAGAGTAAGTCTAAAAAAGGGAAAATTGATGGGTTTTATTGACTTTTTTCTCATATGAAAACAAAGAAGGGGTGTCTCACAAACCATTGCAGATAAATCAGAGGGAACTGCACAGATTTGAACTGGAGGTACAACACAGCATCGGGACTCCAGCACGTTGTTTAAGGGGCACAAACAAGACATTTCTTTGTAGTAGGAAGTTGTTGGGGAGAGGGAGCTGCAGTGGTGCTGCTTGGCGGGGCGGGGGGGAGATCAGTATCGTGTGTGTGTAGAAGGGGCCTGACAACACATGGGCTGTGCTCGGTTTCAAGCCAGGTCTGACACAGCTTTGCTGAATTTGGGCAATTCCTCCTGTTTCAGCTGAGTTAGGTCCCTGCTCTCGTGTAAGCTGCTGATCCACCTGCAGATGCTGGTAAATGCCGGACACTGAGTTTGCTCAAATTACAAGGGGGTGCAAGCCCAGAGGGCTCTGTAGGCTTCCACAGATTTTTCTTTCTTCTCACTTAGATTTTGTCTTTTGGTAGACTACAATAGAAGAAACAGCAATGGTATTAGCAAAAGGGGGTGGGGGGAGGAAAGTACTTAGTAATTCTTAGGAGAGAGAGAGATAAATAATCATTACTGCTAGACCTTTGAACTGCATGTGCTAAATTAGGAATTGCTGGAGCTGGAAAGAGTACAGTGATGGGCAAGTGCTTCCCAGCACCCTGGGAAAAGGGAGAAATGGAGGCTCCTAACAGTCCCATGAAGACAACTGTCCCAAGAGTAGGGGATGAGGAGGGAACCTCAGGCTGGCCATATCTTCCCTCTGTGGAACTCATCGCTGTCAGGCACTGAGGCAAAAAAACCTCAGCAGAGTTCAGGAATTGTGTATTTTCAGGACTACTACAGAAGCGACAGCGTTTGTACCCAGCGAGCTCTTGAGGAGGTTCTAGCCGTGCTTCACCTCTCAGGTAAGAGGGAATGGGAACAGCCTGGATTTCACAAGCTGCTTTTTTTCCAGGTTGTTCAAAAATCTGTTCCACGCCGGGGGAAGCTCTCACTGTGTTCCCTCTGGGATACGGCATGGTACCAACAGATGAACCAACAACAAATAAAAGGTGGCTGATACTTTAGTTGTATGGCCTTACCTACAGCACTGGAGCTGCTGCTGTCCTCCTAGCTGCCAGCCAACTTGATGCATTAGGCTGTAAGGCACAAAATTCTTTCTTGGGGCATTTTATAGTGTTAAACTTTTCACAGAAATCTTTACCTTCTTCTGAAGTATTTGATAAAAAATATTGTTGGAAATAGGACTCTGAACTTCATGGTTTTCTGGTAGCTATTCCTAAAATCTCTTAAGTACAAAGACAAAGGTATTGGTGTGCTGGGAAACCTTGGCATGTTCTTTAGCATCAACTCACGGGATGACTTTTTGAAGAAGCTGTTACCCTTGTCTGTGCTGTTTCCACCCTGCAATGGTATACGCTCTGTGGCTAGGTGGAAGAGGATAAGGGTGGCATTATGCGTCCTAGGCTGCTTTTCAATGGATGGGTTAGGACCAAAATCCTATTTTGGTTTCCTGATCATTCACATTGTTGCTGTTGCCTCTCACATCACAAAGCTGAGAAAAGCTTAGTGATTACTGTGGCCATTGAAGAGATAGAAAGATC